TATTTCAAACAATAAATATGATGATAATGTTTCAATTTGATATATAGATAATATTGAATTTTTTAAACTTATATATATATATATATATATTTAAATTTAAATTTCTACAGCACAATTTTTTAAAATTGAATTTGATAATGTTTGTATTTCTTGTTTCTATCTAATATGGTTGTTCTGACTATTTGGAAGGTTTTGTCCAAAAAAGGATGACAAAAGTTGTACTTTAAAATTATAAATTGATTATAATTTGTGACGTACTGTTTTAAAAATAACTTCTTGCATTAGTTCTCAAACCAATATGAAAAATTATCGCATTTTATATACTAGCTATTTTTACATCAATTCTAAAACCAATTAAAATAGCTTTTTCTAACCATTTTAAAAAGGTTTTACTATAACGGATAAAGCATTAAATTACTTTCGAACATTTAGCAACATCTTGTTAAAAATGAACATGAAATAATTTTAATTTTTTTTAAAAAAAAAGATAAACAACAATACTCTCCTATTTATATTTTTAAATAAATCTTTGAAGATCCAATCATATAAAATATTAAGAAAATCATAATTGTTTTATTTAATTCCACAAATTATGTATAATGAAAATAAATTTTATCACAAAAATAAATATAAACGTACTATTTTGAACTTTCTCTATAATATTTATGATTTTGACATTTATTTGAATTATTCTCTAAATTAATAAAGGTTTCTCAATTTTTTAAATAAATTTTATTATAAACTTTTGAAATAAGTTTGTAAATATTCTAAAAAGTATTCAAAACAGTTTAATTATTTAAATTATTAAAAAAACAGCATCGTATATCATGAAATTTTTACTTTTTATTTTATATTTTATATATATATATATATATATATATATATATATATATAATACTCTAAATATTTTTGTAGTCCTTTTTTTAAGAAACTTTTAATTAAGTTAAACAATCAATAAAAGCAGTTAAAGTTAGGTTTTAATTTAAGTTTTCATCAACCCCGTGATAAAAAGGAAGAAACAAGAATTATTTCTTACCAACTAAAGTATCTTATATGTAAAAAAGATTAAAAAAAAAAAACTAGGTTCTTACTAAAAAGAAATAAAAATTTGTAAAAAAAATACCTTTAAATATTTATTTATAACAGTACACAACATTTTCTTACCCAAAATTTGCTCTAGTCGGCTTTTTCACCGTATAATGCAGTTTAGAAAATTAATTAACAAAATAATGACAGTTAAAAGTTAATTATGAAATTTGCTTAAATGACCAATAAAGCAACTACGTATAAAAAAAAAGTAAACAGTGCTGTGACACATAATAAGAGCAAAGGGTGGCACAGCAGTGAAGGAGACATGTGAGGAGGTTGCATGTGTGAAGAAGATGAGCATATAGATGCTACATCTAGCGAGACACCTTACTCCCTTGAAAGTTGTAGAAAGTGAGAGCTTCGTGTTGTGCTGATGCACTTCCAACTCCTTTTATTTCAAATTGCTAATCATAATACCTATGGGATCTATTTTCCACATGCAAAGTCTCTTCTACAAGTGTTTCATTCTTACAAAATCAAATGTGACTTTCACTCTAATGTGTATTATTCTAATAATAAATTTATAAAACTGCATTACTGTGATAGAAGAAAAAGAGTTGTGTAATTGGGGTGGTGGGATCTAATCCTTTCCCTCCCATATGACAGAGGTGGCACCACAATCCCTCCACGCAAACATGACGTGTTTGAGATCTCTGTCGCACATGACGGTGCAACCTCATCCACCTTTAAGAACTACCAGCTGTGACCTCAATTTCCACCCACCCATCTCATGCCACTTGTAATTATAAATTTTCTTCATTTTAAGATAAGTTACAATTTTTGGTTACTCTTATTTGCTGTACTTTTTCTACTAATCTGAATCAACATGCTTGAAATCAGATTAACTAAACTACGATTTGACTATGAGTCCTTTTCTTTAATTTTTTTCAGAAAGAGATTTATATTTCAAATATTTTATGAAAAGTATAAACTGTATTGTATTTGTTTATAACTATAAAATAATTTTTCAAAAGAGAATATAATGTTAATAACTTCTCTAAATAATAAAAATTGAGGAGTCAGCTTAGGTTGGCTTGAGTTTATCCAGTTTGATGGTGCATGATTCAATACGTAACATAATTAATATTACAACCGGGCCATGTTATTTTTGATCCAATCCAACTTAAAACCAATTAACCCATACATTTTAGTTTGCATTTGAGTTTATCAATTTGCAGGTTGGATTGAATATTGGATTCATGATCACCTCTAATGATTTCTCATTAAATTTTTTAAATGAATATAGTCAAACTTTTTATGATTGTCTTGCTTTACTTAAAATTAACATAGACACAGCAACAGAGCACGTGGTACTTAAATTGTAATAGTTTCCTTTGAAATAAATATTTACGTGCAGGAGAAGAAAGCAAGACGTAATGAACATTCAATCAGAAAACTCAAAATTGAGAACATGCTTACAGCACATTTATGCTCTGGCAACGTAGAAGATGATAAATGGACAAGAACTACATCGTTACGATGATTATTCTGATTTTGATTTGATACCACAATATCAGTGTACTAATTCCATTTGGATTTCAGATATACCCTGCCCGCTTCTTCCTTCATGTCGTCTCACAACTCAAAAGTTAGAAGTTCAAAGAAAATTTATTTTCTTCATCCTATTTTTTATTATTTTTTTACAACTACGAAAATTATGAAAAAAAAAGATAAAAGTGAAATAAAATGAGTTATAGAAAATATAATAAATATGGTTTCAATAGGTGTTTCGCAAACACCAAAGAACATTAAGAAAAACAAACAAAAAAGGTATATTTTACATCTTATATTTTCATGAGATTTTTATTCTAATTTCTCTATTTGTTTTGGTCTTAGTGATTTTTAAATTTTTTTTAAAAAATAACATTTCTAGTTTTTAATGACGATGGGAGTAACTAATTAAAAAGGTATCATGTGTTAATTTTTATGGGTCACATTTTATTTGTACGCAAGTTTACCTATCAAAAAGTAATAAAAAAATTTTAAATTAAGAGTTCTTAAATTATTGTCCTACAGATATTATTTTTCAAGTACCAAGAATAACTTAATTTGATAGTTTAAATGTAACGGGACTGTAACAGATAAAAAATAGAGCTTAATTTTAATAATAAATTAAAGGAACAGTAATACAATATATGAGAGAGATCAGATGAGATGAGTCTAGGACTTATGGATTTATCTACTACACTTCTTTATGGTCTAATTAATTTAATATTGATATTGGTATTCAAATATTTATCAATCACTCATAATTAGTTCTATTAACACCCAATAATTATGTAATGTCAATATTCCTTTTCCTAAACAAACACCCTCAATGATCATGCAAGGTAATTGGCCGAGAAAGCATGAAGATCCTATGAGTTTGTTAATTCAATAAGGTTAAAAGAAAGGAATTAAGTGTGATTAATCTAGCCCCTTATTCATTTTATCCTATAGTTCCGTTAATTATATGTAGTACGATCACCTATAATGCAACTAACTATGGGATGTTAAGGTTGATCAAATCTTAATATACACAATATAATCCAATAGAATAAAACCAAACATTAAAGGAAAACTAACACCAACATTAAAGTAAAAATCACATAAAGTTTGTAGTAGAATCCATCATATATAGCCCTAGTTATGGGTTTAGTTACTCATAACAAAATAAATTACGAAGAACGTGATAAATAAATTTATAACTACAAAGAAAAATTCAAACAAAAGAAACCCAGAAATGTAGAAGACGAAGAGAGTTCTCGTTCTCCGAAAGGATACTTAATCACTTGCTTGGACTCTAAGGAGAAGTTTGTCGTCCTTATCAATGGTCTCCAATGACTCTCAAAGATGAGTTTAGGTAGAACTAAGAAGGAAAAAATGGTGTGTAGAGAAGTGGGAGTGTCAAATGTAGACCATAAGCCCTCTTTATATAAGTTGTGCCCTGAATTTCCAGTCAATTGAGCTCTATCTTTTTTAATTTATTTTATCCACAATCAAAATCACTCTAAATCTTCATATCTCAATCTTTATCTAAGTTTAAATTTTAAATTCAAAATTCAAACTCAGATTCACATAGCCTTGACTAAAATTATCTAAATTTTATTCAAAATATCTCTATAATGCACTAATAGCAATTTACAGTTGACCTGCAATGATTAATAACATAACTAATATAAATATATATGAAATTGGATTTAAATGTATAAATATAAGTCATAAAATATATTAAAATATGAACTTATCACATTTATGTTAATGACAAAGTACTAAATATAGATTTATCAATAACTAAAACTAAAAAAGTTTTTCGAAAGGAATAAAAATCAAAATATGATAAAAATTGTTAGCAATCAATTTATGTTTCTAGGTCCGATTTTTAAAGAACATTATGTGATCCACATAACCCCATTATCTGCTTAATTTTTGTTCTATGCAAAGGTTACTTTCACTAGTTTTTCAGAATAGGCTCCATGATGGGTAGAGTCCTATAAATATTTTGCTCTCATGATTTTAGGTTATCAAATCCGCTCCTCTTCTTAGAACAAAACACATCATCGTGCTTGAGTGGGTGAGGATTTGGAAAACTAGAACTGTGATCGTGAATTAATTTTGCAATAGCTAGAGGTTAGTGTTCTCAATCCGTTTTGCTTTCGCATAGCCTTATTACGGTTTTTATTTGGCTTTTCTTCATTTACAAAAATATATTATAAAAATAGAATAACTCAAATTGGGATAAACTAAGTGATATGATGAATAGAGATAAAAAAAAATAGTTATAAAAAATATTATAGAAATTTATTGTAATTGAGAATAGAATAACTCAAATGAGAATATTCCAAATTCACTCAAAAAAATGTTATTTTTCACTCCATCAAAATAAAAGCAATAATAATCACAAACAGATATACAGTTCTCTCGTTTTCCCAAAGATAACAAATTTTCTCGCAGGGTTTAAATGACAATATTTCAACTTAATATGGTACAAGTGAATTTAATTAAGCCAATATATCAGAAGCTGTTTTCTCTTTGTTTTCTTCTTCATCCAATGTATCACACAGTGCTCTCCCCTTTGTCTCTGGCAGGAATATTCCAAACACCCCACTACAACCTATCACCAACCCAAAAACCCCATAGCATAAGAACTTATTCCCTCTTCCAGCACCCACCAACAAAGGACTAAACGTGCCACCAAATACCACCGCTAACCTTGCCATTGACAGTGCTGAATTCCTCACACAAGTTGGGAACAACTCTGTGGTGTATATTAAGTAAATGTTAAAAGAAGCACAAGCACTGAAAAAGGATACTAACTCAAACCAAATTTGCAAATTGGTCCATAGCTTCCCTTCCATGATTGACATTACACTAAAAATGCCACTTAGGATAGTGAAAAAGAGGAGTGCACTTCTCCTATTGAACTTGTCTATAAGAAAGAAGGTGATCAAGGCTGATGGCACCTCAGATAAGGCATTGAATGTGACACTTAAATAAAGGTCGAAGGATAACACTTCAAGGCCTAGTGGCATGCCATAATAGACCAATCCAATGCCAATTCCCATGGCCATAATCGCTAATAATCTTCTTGAAGACCATTTCTTTTCCATCAAAATTTTGAGGGCCGAAAAGAAATTCTCGTTCCAAGTTTCTTCCTTGTGGGACATGCTATTGATGGTCAAATTCAGGTTACTTTGCGTGATTGATGTGATGCATTTTAAAGTAGCCACGGCTTCTTCTTTCATTCCTCGCACAAGAAGCCATCTAGGGGACTCACTAACTAACAACTTGACCAATATGCAATAGAAAATGGTTGAAATAGAAGTCCACAGATAGAGGTTTCTCCACGAAGAATTCCTGTTTGCGTATGCCATGGCGGGTAAGGACAAGAACCCTACATATCCATCCATCTAACAAGTAAATCTAAATCGATTTATTTTTTGAGAAACCGTTAATGTTAACAAAATTTCACTGTAAACTAATGAAAATTTACTTAATTTTTAAATGATATTTTTCAACATGTATGGTACACGATGAAAATAAACAAATATTATTTTTTTATTGAGAATTATATTATTTAATATTATCAATGCAATAAGATCATATAATTTTCAGTGAAAACTAATAAGACATAAGTTCATATCATTGTATCCTTCGATACACATTAAAAAAATAATTTTTAAAACAATTATTAAAAAATTAATAATTTTTAAGTATACAATTGATAACTTTTATATATTTTCAGTTGATTTTATTATTTTTATATTTTGTAAATTTTAAAGTAATTCTCGTCATGACTAAGTGACGACAAAGCGAGTATATAATTAATCACTTCACCTTATGATAATCACTAGTGTGACATAATTATGTACATGATAGATTATCATTTAGGAGTAAGATATAAATCATTTTCAAATTTTTTAGAATTATGAGGTTTAAGTTGATAAAAAAATGATCTTAAACTTTATAATACAGAATTTATGTGGTATAATATTTGAAAAGAAATTTGAGGAGGTAGGAATTGAGTTTGGAGACGGAGGCATACCTACAGTGAAACAAAAGAAGCCAATGGCACTAATCTGGCCACGCCAGCGTTTTCCAACGAGCTCCGAAGCTAGCACAAGAGCTGAGGTTCCGATGGTGGCTCGGCTAAATCCAATTAGAAACTTGAGAGCTGAGTAGATCCAAACATTGGTAGAGAAGGTGACGAGGAAGGAAGAGAGAGACATCATGAGACATGAGTAAAGGAGCATGTTCTTGCGCCCAAGCGATGAGTCAGCAAGCGTGGCCAGCAGAAGCCCACCCACTAAGCACCCAACAAAGAAAAACGAAGCAGGGAGGCCCGTTATGATGGAATTCTCACACTCCAAGGCCCACTCTGAAACAATGGAGGCTTCTGAGGGCCCATTCCAGGCCCACGAATCCCTCGGAAGGCTGCATATGTTGCTATCTGCGGTGCATGGTGTGGCGCCTTGTTGGGTGCAGCGCCAAGGTGGTTGCGCGTCGGTGAAGACGGTGATGAAGGTTTGTTGAGCATCGAAGATCCAAGCGAAGGAGACAAGAACGGATTGCAAGAACTGGTGCCAATTGAATTCGCCTATGCAAATTTCGATGGTGGAGGCCAGAGAAGGATCGTCTTCTTTTCCTGGCTGTGCTTCTTCTGCCTCTGACTTTGAACTCAGAAGAGGGGTTGAATCTGCCATATACAACAAAACTCTTATTTAATGGAGTTATGGTTCGCTTAGACGTGTTTGCCTAAGGGCTTTATATAGGAGAACAGAATCTTTAACCTCTCTAGATTCTTCTACACTTCTCATCGTAATTTCTTTACGTGCAAATGGCCCCTTCACAATTCAAATAAGAAACTGTTTAATCATCCACTTGTTTCTTTCACTGACAAAAAAAAGGGACAGATTTACAATTTTTTCACTGTGGATAGTTAAATCTGATAGAAAATTAAGTAGATGCAGGAGAGGGAAATTTCGCACCAATTTCGATTCGTCTTCACTCTTCACTTCTCGTTATGATTTACTTTTCACATGCAAACGGTCCCACGTCAAAGAAAAAAGAATGAACAATAATATATAACGTTAATTTTTAATTATTTAAAAACATAACTGCATCACTCATTCATCCCAAACCCAAACCTTTCTTTTCTAACTAAATGAACGTAGTTAATGGTTTAGCTAATTTTTACATTAACAAAAAATTTAACAACTAACCATATAGTTTTATTTCACTAACTGAAGTCAACTACATACATCATCTCATGTTAAATTTTATATTAACTTTTGAAAGCCTCTTTTTTTATCTGCACCAACACTTAAGACCAACTATAAAGTCACACACACAGATTTTATATAAATGTAACTAAAATTATAAATTATAAATATTATTAAAATACCTAGAAATATAATATTGTAAAACAATTAAAAATATGTTTAAAACATAGAAAAGTATAATATACTTTAACACTATTAAATAAATAGTATATAAAATAAATTTAATAAGATAAAAATTTAATTTTAAAAAGTATAATCTCTTGATATATCATGATAATAACTTTCAAAATTAAACAATTACACAAATAAATTTTATTATTGCATTAAATAATGTCAAAATTATTAAAATATATTTTAATTATTCTATAATATTTAGTTACTATTCATATAAAATTAATACATTTTATATTAAAAATAGTAATTATAATTTTCTTATTCAAAATAATAAAATATCATAATGAAAATAAAGTTATTTATTATAATTTTAAAACATGTATAAAAATCAAATTACGAAAAGGAAAATATATTATTTTCTAATATAAATTAAAATTTTATCAAACATAAATGATATTAAAATTTGAAATGATATTGCTAGAGTAATCCTTTAAAATTAATGTTATTATATCAAATAGTACGTTATAACAAATAGTTTAATTAAAATATAAAAATATTAAAAATTTATAATAATTTAACATCAACAAATATTTAAATTTAAGAACTAATTATTTAAATATTTTTTTATTCTCACAAACTTCTTGAAAATGTTTTCCTTAGAATTGTGATATCTTTTTATTCTTAATATTGTAATATGTTTTATATAACAATTAAATGAAAGTATATTAAAACATATTATATAACATTTCACTTGTTAAAGTGCATAGCTAATAGTATTAATTAAGTTTATTAAATTACGTCAGACCAAACTAACCTAACAAAATAGAGTTTAAATTTGAAATTTAAAAAATTAAATTAAAAATAAATTCTATAAAAATGAAAAATAAATATATGATAACAATAATAGTTTTTTTTAAAAAAGTAAAATAAAATACATATAAAAATAATAAAAATAAATTCTATAAAAATGAAAAACCTCAACTAAACCAAAAGATTAAAATAATCAAATACTAAGAAATTAGATTTATCTTCATAAAAAGTATTTAATTAAAAATAAATGATAACAAAATTTTATGATAAATTCCTCTTGTTTAACAATTTTTCTTACAAACACACTAACACTCTGCTAGATCAAATGCGCTGGCATATGCACACATTTCATATTTCATAACTCACATTCTCTCTCAAAAGTAGGTTACACACTAAGAGGATTTTATTTTTCTCTCATCAACAATGATGGAGTTTAGATGAACTCGTATGCAAGCCTTTTTGTTAAAGGAAAAAAAAAACAAAATAATATAAAAAATAAATAAAATTTATCTCATAAATTAAAATTAATTTATTTCATTAAGTTTTAAAAAAGTTAAATAAAAGTAATTTTAAAAAAATATAAATGTATAAATTAGTTTTAATTCATGAGAAAAGTTTTATTTATTTTTTATAATATTTTATATATCGGTGCCGAGTTCTTGAATTTTTGCATAGACTGCGGGTTCAATGGGTTCATATGCATGTTCTTGAATCATGACTAGAGTCTTGGAATAACATGCATGTTTGAAATTCAACAAAACTTAGTAAATAATTTAATTCTCGCATGGAACATACTAAATATTTATTTATTTAATATTTATTTTATAAAATAATAATAAAATTATTAGGAGAATATAAGAAAGCTCCACAGCCAATTGTTTCTTCTACACAGCCAAATATTTTATTTTCTGTTCTTACCACAACTGAGGGCCAACTAGTGTAAAAAAAATATAATAATTCTTGCATATATTTTTATTATTTTAATAAATTTTAGTTAATAAAAAATACATGATAATTAATGTAAATTAATGTATTAAATAATTAAGATCAATATTTATTATATATTTTAAAAGTTATAATATTTATGTTTAGAGGATATTAAAATATTATTATATTGAAAATAGGTATTTATTTTAAGACAAATATCTCTTCAAAATATAAACGTAACAATTTCAAAAATAAGTTATCTTTTTGTTTATATAAAACTTAATCTTATTCTTTTAAACTCATTTTCTTTTATCTGTTTATCAAGCTAGTTTAAGTATTTTCTAGTGATTCTAACAGCTAGTTCAATAAATTTAGTGATCATAGTTAAAATTTAAAATTAAAAGTTTGAAGAGAATATTAAAAATAAGAGATCAAATAAAATTAAATAATTTTTATTTAAAATTTTAATTCTAAAAATCATAAATTATATAAATAGAAATTTAAAGAAAACATCAAAGATCTAAAATAACATAGTCTATTAGTTTAAAAAAAATTATTATAAATTAAAACTGCATAATGTATGGAAAAGTTTTAATTCTTAAAATCACCATTTAGATACTATATATACACTACTATAATTTTTAATTTTTTCCACAGTTTTTCTTCGCAGTTTATATAACTGTAGTTAAGTTTTAATTTTATTCGTAGTTAAATTTAAATATTCTTCGCGGTTTAGTATAATAACCATAGTTAATTAGCGACGGTTAAGCAAACCCCAGGTAAATATAAAAAAAATTATCATCTCCCAGGTATATGTAATTAACCTTCGCACGCTCAGAAATCCCTCTCTCCCAAATGGGTGAAATAGAGCTCTCTTTCTCAACTCTGACTATTGCCTAACTTTTCTTACACTCACAAATCTTTTTCTTCCAATATCATTGATTGAATCGATTTGAATATTCACACTATTGTTAAAGCCCTCTCTAAGAAGTCTCAGAAATCTTCTTTCTCAGAAACATGAAACAAAAGTCCTCTTTTTCAACTCTGACTATTGCCTAACCTTCCTGCGCTCACAAATCATTTCTCTTTGAATCGATTTGGTGCCATTGTTTTTGCTCTCGTTGTTGTACAAAGGTATGATTTCTATTTTATATTTGAGATTTTATGTTTAGGGTTTTAGATTAGCTTTTATAATTGTTTTGGTTGTAATTTTAATGTGATAGAAATAATATCATTAGAGACTCTTATATATATATATATATATATATATAAGTTTTACATAAAAAATTAAAAATTAACTATTAATACAATCTTATAAAAATATAAAGTAACAAGTCTTGAAGATAAAAAATAATTTTACAAAATTTTAAAAAAATTAAATTATATATATATATATAAAAGATCTAAAATAAAAGATCTGAACTGTTATTTTTAATGAAGATTTAAATACGTTGACTTGTCTTAAAAAATATATATATATATTCTTAACACGGTGGTTGATTGATTGAAAAAGTGGGATCTTAAACTTTCCGTGGGAAATTATTTCGTGCATGCAGTTCAACATTTGTTTATACATAATATATTATTAATTTGCTATAAATGATATACATCTAGATCGTGCAGCTATATATAGTCATGTAACATTCATTTATTAATAATTACTGTGATGTGGACAAGCTTCGTCTTTTAGCAACAATTTGCGATTTGGTATTCATCTAAAAGAATAATATATTTTGATTGTAATCCTTTCATTGCTTCAAATCATGTGATTCCATGCATTAATTTAATTTATCATGGCAACCAAAACGTGTACAATTTAAAACCCAGCTATGTGCTTTCAACTTGTTGGGCATGTTCATCCAATGGGACTTGAAGATCGATCGATGTGCTAATTCTGACTCAAAACAACAAACTATCCTTTGCTTCATTCTTCTAAGTGCCAGGTAATGAATATTTTATTAAAATATGGTTCACGTTTGGATCTAATCTTTTCGATCAAAACACAACTAAATGTGGTCAACGTGTAAATTTTCAATTTAATTTTATCATTATATAAGATTAGATATTAAATGTTAGTGGGATTTTTCTAAACATAAATGTAACCCAACTTCATTTTATATTAAAACTCACACACTAGGTCAATCCAAATTTGACCTCTTGTATAATTTATTGATTACTTACCTAATGAAAATATTGCAATAGAGGATTTAATAATAATAAAAAAAGCATTTCAACTTCACGATTTTGAATCACCACTTGATTTTGAATTCCAATTGAATAAGTTGGTAGATTATAGCATGGACAAGGTAACAAGTGGACCATGAGGATCACTTCAAAAATACTTGCTCTAGAAGGTTACAGACATTTTCAACATGTTTGCAGATCAGAGTTTAGGAGTTAAATAATTTCAGTTTAATCCTTCTTGTATTTGTAGACAGTAGACAAGATGGTTAAACAATTACATTATAGTCCTTCACTTATTAAACTTTCAAGTTGACTTTAACCAATTTCTTAACCCAAATTTACATCTTAAATGTTACAATTAAAATATTAGCTCAGTTAAATTCTCGATATTTAATTCCCAAAAGTTATCAATAGCTTCTTATATTTTTGTTAAAGTTGTAGTGTTTGGTGATTAAAAGATATATACTAATTATATGCTATACTCTTAATCATATCAATGGAGTATATGAAGGAGTTTTATATATTGTAAAGATTACCATTAAAATGATCAATGTGACAATTTTAAAATATGTCATAATTTAACACACGATAACCATAAATTTTACTTGTAAACATTTTTACAAGAAATACTTCACTTAAATATAGTTTAAAAAATGTATTTAACATAAGAGACTAAAAAAAATTATATATCAATCGTAAAATAAACATTGCATATTATAATTGTGACCAAAGAGAACTTATCTTTTACTTTTCATAAAATTTCTAAAATGCATTTCATTGTTTTATACATTATTTAAATTATATTTTAAAACTTAAACAATAACCCTGTATGAGAATAAAGTTAATTTCATAATAATAAATTTTATTATTATCTAATATATTTTCTCTTGAATTATACAATAGTTGTAGTAAGAGCTAATGAGCATAATGTGCTGCTGACCCAATGTAATTAAATCACAATGACACTAATTATATATTTAGATTGTAACACTTGACGGTGCCAAGTTTTTTGAGTAATTGAGATTATCCATTTTCAATTCATCCCATATACAAAAAGACTATATTTTTGTAACAGATATTTTATAAATATATTTCTAACTGATAACGAGCTTTATGAAAAATCAAAGATTGAAATATTTGATGAAAAAGATCTTTTTATATTAATATAAATCTAAAATCTCTTATACTCAATTTGAATATTTCATTTAGTTTATATCTAATGGCTAAAGAAGTAATAAATTATTAGTCCTTAGATGTAACAAATATTTTATAAATATATTTCTAATTGATAATGAGCTTCATGAAAAACAATCATATATTGAAATATTTGATGAAAATGATCTTTTTACATTAGTGTAAGTTTAAAATTCTTTGAACTCAATTTGAGTCTTTCGTTTAACTTATATCTGAAAGCTAAAGAAGTAATAAATTATAAGTTCTTAAATGTAACAAACATTTTATAAATATATTTCTAATTGATAATGAGCTTTATGAAAAAACAGAAATTGAAATATTTGATGAAAAAGATTTTTTTATATTGGTGCTAGTCTAAAATCTCTTATATTTTTATTTGACTTTTTCATTTAACTTACATCTAATGGCCAAAAAAGTAATAAATTATAAGTTCTTAGATGTAATAAATATTTTATAAATATATTTCTAATTGATAATGAGCTTTATGAAAAAATATAGATTAAAATATTTGATAGAAAAAATCTTTTTATATTAGTGTAAGTCTAAAAATTCTTACACTCGCTTTGAGCCTTTCATTTAACTTGTATTTAATAGTCAAAGAAATAATAAATTATAAATCTTTAGATTTAACAAATATTTGTTATATATATGGGATACTGGTGTAAGTAAAAATTTTTACACTCAATCTAAATATCTCATTTAACGTATAGTTAACGATCAATTAATTAATAAATTATAATCTAACTTAAATAAAAAATTTAAATAAAATGTAAAAATTTTTAAATTTACTCTAGTGTAAGAATATTCTCCTGTGTATATATATATATATATATATATATATTATTTTTTTTGAGAGAATCTATTCACATCTTCTTTTTTTCAATAGAGTTCATAAAGCAAGATCACCAGTTTAAAATACGTGCTATACAAGACACAAAATGCATTGAATTGAAAGAGATTCTTCTGGCTTTTCCTCCAAAATGGACACTCTTGACAAGCACGCTCTACGGAAAGGAAAATCCCTCAAACTATACTGATGAGCTGATTTCTGATACGCAATCAACAGTGGTAAAACAAAATACAAATACTATTCTATATTTTCCCCTTCAACTGTATCTATAATACACCTAAATTAAACTAGACTTTTATACCCGTGCTGTGCACGGATTTGAACTTTTATACAAATATTATTTATTCAGGATTAATTTAGATTATTATATTTATTAAATAAAATAATATATATCTATATATATATATATATATGTTAAATATATTATTAGTATTTTTTATATAACTATAATGCTAATTTGTCATGATTTTTCTTTCTTAGACTTATATTTACATCTTATGATTTTATCGGTATTTTTATTTTTTAATAATAATTTTGGTTAATATTGAGTATATATCATTTGTTACTTAATATATTATTAACAATTTGTTTCTTATGATTACAACATTAATTTTTCGTTATTATAAGTACGCATGCAGTTTTTTCTATTATTGTTACTACATTTAAAAGATAAATTAGCTATATCACACACATTAAGAAAACATGTTAAAACTAGTTTATATTAATTTTTAAAAATCACTATACAACGTTCTAAATATACTCCCACTTAAAATTAAAGTCATTAAACATTTAATAAAATTCCATCATAAAGATTCAAGGATAAGCAAAGAAATTGTCTTGCAAATATAACTTTGAATTTGTTTTAACTTTGTCTTGTAAAGGCGGCGGAGGGAATACTATTATTGCCTACTATTCTCATATTGATCAGATTACATTAAAAAAATAGTATAGCCTTTCATTTAACGATCAAGCCCCGACTAATTTACAATTTTTAATAGTAATAGAAATTTTAGTTCCAAAAACTTTAGATTGCGTTAACACAAAGATTATAAGATGGAGATGAACTATGTTCTCAACTAGGGGTACTCTGACTACTGCCTTGATGAACAGACTCAAGACATTCCTTGGCCCGATGAACTTTGGACTGGAGGTAAAAGCTCCCATTCTTGGCATTATTCTCAAACAAACTGTCATATTTCTGCACAGAAGAAATATGTTTAAACAATTATTATAACAAAAATTTAGCTCTTCTAAAACAATAAATGGGAAGGTACAACTGTTGATTAAAAAATCAAGGGAGTAAATTTTAATATTATATAAATAATATATGAGCATTATTTAAATCATAATATTAATAGTTATTTCCCAATCTAATGTTATAACTTAGTACTTTTTCCTCAAAAATGATTTCCTGACTTCAAGGGAAATATTCATACAACAAAGGGTTATATATAACCACACAACAAATGAGATGCAAACCTTCACAATGTCCTCCCAGTGGGCTTCCTCAGTAACACCAAGAATCTGCCGAGCCTCTTGCTCAGTCATTCCCTTGCTAGCCCTACGGATAGTATTTTGTATTGTATCTTGTGCAACACCATTTTTAGAGGCATCTGGAATAACATAACATAACGTTTAGTAAGTGAGAAGATCTGGAGTTGCTGTGTGTGTATAGAGGGAGAGATATATTAGCCAAGGCACGATATGAGAAAGAAAAACTACGGACTTAACACAAATTTAAGTGTATCAAAGTGTAAAGACTTACGGTATTGGACAAAGATGATGAAATTAAGGAGAAAATGGAAGAACTATTTTGGTTAACTTTTCAGAGAAGTATCGAATGATATATTGGGATTTGAAAAATTCAGTTCAAGAAGTAACATTGATTATTAATGAATCATTTCATAAACATGAGGAAAGTTGGAAACTAGTTCATGCATAATGAATTAAGGAATCGAGATAGCTCTTTATGACCAAAGGTGATATCCAAAATTTTGGAATAGCAGAGCAGCCACAGGCCACTATACAATTTGAATAGTGGTCATAGCAGCTACAATAGCAGCCATAGCACCGCTATAGTGGTGCAACAGCAATGGAAAATCTTTGGAAGTGGTGGTGTATGTGAGGAGTGTCCCGTATTAATAGGTCTGTGGGCAACCAAAAAAATGCTTTAGAGCTAATAGAGACAAATGGGAGACCAGTAGAGTGGTTCCAAGGATCAGTGGATGTATTAAATAGTCCCTAATAAAAATGGAATTGGTGATTAATTCAGTAATAAAGGAGCCTTAGTCTTTCCAAAACATCTAGATATCTAAAAAATTTTAGTAGTTTGATTTAGATAGATATGTAAATAGGATACACGGATAAAAGAAACAAATCAGTTCACAGATTGAAATCTCCTCAAGCTAAAGTTGATCAACCAACCCGCCTAAAAGCTTAAAACTTTAGATGAAGTCTCAAAAAAGGTGCTATATCTGACTGTCTAAATGAGAGACAAGAAATTTATATTGGTCAGTATCAAACAAATCTAGATCAGCAGCACCAGTGTTATGAGGTTCCCTTCAAATGAGTGCTGGTGCACGGGAAAGTTGATAAAGACAAAGAAAAGAATCAGAATACAGAAAATGGCCTAACCAATGCAATAGTTCTCCCAAAATGAACAAAGGGCCATACCTATAGCGTTAAGCAAGGAGAAAAAGGATAAGAAATGAAACACAGGGACTTGAATGATGGCGGGACAGCACAAGGTAATTAAAACATTTTCTCTTCAATAAAACTGGGGATCTCTTGCCAAATCATAACCCTTCACTCTAACTCTTTAATTACACTTTCTTTCTTTCTTTTCATTTTAGAGTTCTACTGCTAGCAATTCCGTGAAAGTGTTTGAAATTAGCATCCCCTTCCTTAGTTAGCATTTTCCTGTAATTCTGGCCTCCACTTTCACTGCATTTACAACTAATCTCCTTTCAAAGAATCCTACAAAACTCAAGGTTTTTTTCTTTTCCTTAAAAAAATCTTGTCATCCTGTTGGAGTTCACATATACAATCCTCACATGCTAATCTATCCAACACACCTAATTGTGAGAGAACTTCCCTTTAGAGACTGACTATAACAATCTACAGGTTGCACATGAAGCATGTAACCTATCCCAAGTTCTTCTCACAATATACTACTCAACTCCAAGAAACTGGGATTCTATTTAACTTTCCAAGCATGAGGGATTCACATACATACGACAGAACCAATTAAACCCAAAATTTCATTCTGAAAGCTCCCCATGCAAAGATTCCAATTTGTCAATGTTATTGCCCTAAGAAGCCCATGAAATCTCCGCCACCCCCTGGGCAGAAGAGAAAAAACGGCAAATCTCATAACTCTCTAGTCAACATATTTAGCAAGTAAATTCTTCAAAGAAGTATACTGAAGTGCATATCTGGCAATCAAGTGATATGATGTTGGAAAATAATTTAACTAACATTTCCTTATGGTATATGTCCAAACAAAAACAAACAATAATTAAACCAAATACCTAGAAAACACAGAATTGAAAAGTAAATTAGCAGGCAACAATATTATGCTTGTCACACAAATCAATGAATATTCCAGTCACAAATTTGAGAAGCTTACTAGCAAGTGCTTGACGATATGCCTGAACAAACGCTCTAGCCAAGATTCCTCCACCCATCACAATCAAGTTCGCAAGAATCTTAGCGGCCTGCATAAACAATTCAGCTAAGGTTTTGCAAGAAACAGGGAATATTCCAGAAAACTCATTGTCCAAAGACCATTTAGTGATAGCAGATTAAGCTCACTCCAAAGACCACATCCTCAATCAGTACTTTCCGCTTTCATTTTATATTTCCTTTAGGTACATACATCAAAAAGTTACTACCATGTCCATGTCTTGGACCTATGACGCCCCCAACAGACTGAACTATGCCTAAATAGAAACCACAACAAAATTATGCACAAATAGCATGCCCAGGGCCATAAGGCAAAGAATCACAAGCTAAACTTCTGTATATTGTAAACGTCACCTAACAGTCAATGAAAATAAATCAACCTAAGTTGGCCAAATAATAAATTACAAACACCCTCATAAAAACAGCTGCATACCTGAAAAGAACACAATCCATAATCCCCTTCACAAACAGAAACTAAATACACAAATTTCTCAATTTCTCTACGCCCCGGTAGAACCAGACAACACGTTAGATACGAAGAAACAAGAAAGACAGATATGAACATACCATTGCTTGAGAATCAACGAAATGAAACCCCTCTAAAACTACCCAAGCTTGGATTTTTCTTCTGTGTGAATGAGAAAATTTAGGTATTGAACCCCCTCTAGAATGTGGCGACGGTTCTAGAAGAAGACCAGTAATATGGAAGCTCCAAATTAGGTTTCGTGGGAAACAGGGTTCATCCCCGAAGAAATTGCTAATGCTTCTTTTTTGGAGTCTATGGGCTGATAAAAGTAAATAAAGATGAAATACAAAAATCGATAATTTTATTTATTTGATCGAAAAAGAAAATTAAATTAACTTAAGTCTCAATCCCTAATTTTATTAAATAACTTTTTTTATAGCTATATCATTTTATTAATTAAATCATATTATATTTATATTATACATATCAAAATTTAAATAAATTAAATATTTATAAATATATAATCTTTAATTAATATTTATTTATATTTTAAAAATTATATTTATCAGTCTGATGTATAAATATTTTATTGTAAAATAAATATATATAATTTAATTATCAAAAAAATTATTTTTATAAATGATTATATATGCGAATCATTACATGTGTGTCAAATTATGGAGCATGTATGTTTTGTTGATTATCTTTCTTAGATTAATTAAGAAAAGAGAATACTATCAATCATGTAAAATGTTTGTGAATCAATATGATCACAAAGTGGAGAGATTCTTGTATGTTTGCATTGACAATTAATTAAGATATATTTAATTATATTTCACGTTTTAAAATTAATATTATTAAAATTCAAAACAAAATTTTAATTATATATCACAAATCCAAGGTTTGATATGTTCCACGACGAAATTGGGAAGCGTGTTATAACTTATCACGAGGTGAACGGTTTCAAATACTGCGCAGTGCTTTTTTTGTTTATTCGTTTATGATTTTATACAAAAAATTATTAAACTGAAAAATAATATCTTAAACTTTATAAAAGTTATTGTGTGATTTTTTATTATACATTTTAATTATTACATTACTTATGTTATTTATTTTATCTATTTGTAGAAAGTTTATATGAAGATTTTTGAGTGATAGAAAATGTCACTTAATAGGTTGGAAAAAGGTTTGCAGTCAAGCCTTCATAATAAAACTTTGTTGGAGACTGATAACTTTTTCAAATGACCTTTAGGCTCAGGTTTTTTATAGTAAATACAAATTTTTCCTTAGAAAAAATCTCAAGTATGATAATCCTTAGAATTATTTTCATCTCTGGATAAGTATGCTTTTTATTTGGAAGGGTTTCTCTACTGATTTAGGCTGGATAGTTGGTGATGGTTTGACCATCAAATTTTGGGAGGATAATTGGGTCCATCCCCAACAACCTCTTAAAAACTCTGCCCTCCATCAAGTTGCTGATTTGGATGTTATAGAGTCTATGACTTTGTTCTCTCATAATAGATCTTGGAACTGGCATAAAATTCAGTCTCTGCTTCCTGCTAATATTTGTGAATATATTGCTAAAATTAATTCCCCTGCATTTGCAGAGGGACATGATAGATTTTTCTATAATTTGACTGATAATGGTCTCTTCTCAATTAAATCAGCTTACAACCTTATATCCTCCTCTGTCCAGCATCAAGAATCACACCCCAATCTTTTTAAGATGATCTGGAATTGGGAAGGCCCTCCCAAAATTAATGTTTTGTTATGGAAAATAGCCCATGGTCGTTTGCTTACTAATGAGGAACGTTTTAATCGTAAAATGTCTCTAACTTCTGTTTGTTTCAGGTGCAATGAAAGTGATGAAACTGTGATCCATGTACTTCGAGATTGTTGAATTGCTAGGCAAATTTGGAACAAACTCATTTTTCCAGATTGTTAGGCTACTTTCTTTAGTAGAGGCATAACTAGCTGGCTGTCTTTAAACTTATCTATCAATAGCTTATTTCCTTTTCCTAATTGGACACTCCTATTTGGTATAACTGTCTTGCATTTATGGACTAATAGGAACAAGGACATTTTTTAGAATTTCCCTTTGAATACTGAATCCTTGTTCTATAAAATTAAATCAGATTTTGACTACCTTATTTTCTGTGGCAGGTCCAAGCAAAAGATAGGAGCTGGCTGGATGGGGGCTGAAAGGTTCATCAAATGGAAAACTCCTTTGTACTCTCACCTTAAACTAAATGTATATGGTGCTGTCTCCCTTGATGATGGATCTACTAGCTGTAGAGGGCTCATTAAGGACAGTCAAGGATTTCACAAAGCTTTAGACTTGTGTTCCTCTCTGGCTGCTAAGCTTTGGGGCATATTTTGGGGATTAAAGCTTGTTATTTCTAAGAATATTCATCATATTTGGATTGAAAGCGACTCAAAGGAGACTATTTTTCTCACTATGAAGATCCAAAATTGTAATCACCCTTTGTTCTCTTTGATTTGTGATATTAGAGATTTACTTAGAGGGATTAGTTTTATTAGATTTAATCATGTTTTAAGAGAAGCCAATCAGTGTGCTAATTTTTTTGGCTAAGTTAGGGTCTAATTTTGGGTCATTTTTCACTTGTTTTGACAAGGCTCCCCTCTCCTTAATCCCCTTTCTCTCTTTGGATTCTCTAGATTCTTGTTTTCCTAGAGGGTTAGTCTAGTCTTGTTTGTTTCTTTGGGCTGTTAGGTCTCATTTATTAGCAAAAGAATAAATAAATTTTAAAAATATAACTAGAATGAATGTGATCATAATTATGGTTGCATCAACTTCATTCATATGTAACTGTGTGTAATGTTAAGATTTTGGAAATTTTTACAATCACATGCAATTTAGTGTAACAATAATTTCAAGCCTTTCAAAATAACTGAATTATATGTTAACTTCATATTTGGAATATTATTATTTTCTTATTCATCAAGATCAAGAAAAAAAATATCCATATCGTCAAATTCATAAGTCATATATTAAATGAATGAATGTATTGATTTTTATAAATAAAAGATGAGTATTAAATTAATACACTTCTTACAATAAACAATGGTATAAAAAAATTTAACAATTGATACATTTGAAAAAAAAGAGTTTTGTTTCTTATATTTAAAAAAAATATTGATAATTATCACTTATAAATAGCACCCGAGATAATATTTACTATTTATGCCATATAATTTTAAAATACAATTTAGGTTGCACTTTCATTATTACGGTTGCAAAATTAAAATCACAGAAAAATATGATTGTAGTTACAGTGACAATATAATTGTAGAGAATTTCCAAAATTTAATATTGCAGTGATAATTATAATTTCAAATCACTATATTAGATCTCTGATACATATTTTACAACAATGTTAGTAAAGGCAGAAAAAGTTTGTATTCATACTTTGTTTCTTGGGATGCAGCCTTTTGTCTCTTTATCATCTTATTGGAAGGGAAAACAGAAGAGTAAAGGAGTGAAAAAGAAGGGTGAAAGATACATTCAGCTCAACTCATCTTCTACCATTAAGAATCATCAGTGTACCCTTCTTGGCTTGAAAATCAAAGAGCACTACCAAAAAGATTATTCTCTCTTTGACCTTTTCCATTTATACAAGGAGGCCTAATTTATCTTTATCTTTTTCATCGCAAAATTGAAAAATAATTTGAATATTTTGATAATTAAGTGTAAGCTATACAAAATTTACGCCACTATCAACATAATTAAATGACTTAGATCTCAAGTTGTCAAGTATATTATTCATAAAGAAAATTGTTGGTACATATTCTTTAATATTTTCTAAGTATTTTTTATTATCGATTAAATTTTATATAATTAACAATCACAAAATTATGTACACTATCCTGTTAAATTAATAAATAACTGATAATTTTATTATTTTTGATAAATTTTAATTAATTATAAAAAATATATTAAAAAGAGTACATTAATTAAGACGTATATCGCTAAATATGAGAAGAGTTTGAGGCCCTGTAGATAGGGATGGAAACAGGTCAGGCTGCTTGACAGGGCCTGTGGCCTGGCCTGACTTGACCTTTTTAATAAACAAATCAGGCTTAGGCTTTTTTTTAAGGCCTGTTTAAGTACATAAGTCAGGCCTGAGCTGTTTAGAAAGTCTGTTAAACCAATTTGATGGAACAAATTTTTGCTACTCGTTATGCACAAAGATTTTGTCGTTAACCTTCATCAAAAATTGCAGAAAAATTTATGTAATCTAGGGTGCAAACCTAGGTTGTCTCCAAAGACTTTAGTTTGTAACATACATGGAACATGTTGTGAACATTTACTATGAAAGCAATTAAAACAAGGGAGTTTTGTGTGATTCCAATTTTAATGTAAAGGCAAGTGATGAAATTAATGAATCCAATCAATGAAATATGCAATCCTTAGTTTGTTCCTGCAATTCTATCCTTATCCCTCTCAAGATTCAATACTTTTCCTCTTCCTCTGAATTAGGGTAACTCAAAAAGCATGAATTAACCTTAGATTCCCATATGAATTAAGCAATTTATATGGGCTCCAACCTCTCATCCCCAATATAACGTTACCTTAGAAATTAACTTAGGATTAAGCAAACTAAGTTATGAATTTCATTAAAATGAATTACGGTTAATTAAGCAATGTCTCCCTCATTAAAACATTAATTCAATTCAAAGAGTTGGGAATTGTGAATTCATGAGGGAAAGGAAATTATATTGACATTCATACCCAGGAATTTAAGAATACATGAACTCACTAAGGATTACAAGAAAGTTTAGCCCTCCATGAAGATGGGTCTTACAAAATTAAGATGAAAGATAAAGGAATTCAATGACATTAATGCAAGAATTAAAGGAAATTGAAGAAGAAATTGTAAATCAAACCCTAAAATTGCCCTTGGCTGTCATTTAAGGATCTCAAGCTCTGCAAAATGCTCCCAAAAGTGGCAAAGAATCTAAAATTATGAAAAAAGATCCCTACCCTAATTTCTAAAAATCTATATATACTAAATCTGACATGGTCCCATAGTGATCACTCTGTAAACAAGAGTGTTTATGCGCAACAACATTAGATTTTCCCTTTCTGGAGTGATTACTCTCACTTCTGAGAGTAAACACGCGCAGGCACTTTGAGTCTGAGCATCTCTAGAGTGATTACTCTCAT